TGAAGTCCTTGACAACTTCAATATTTTCTCCGTTGATAAAAATGTTGTTTATTGATCCAGTGGTAAGGATTTTTGTTTTCTTTACATTGAGATGTAATTCATACTGAAGGCTGTGCTCTTTGATTTTCATCAGTAAATGTTTTAATTCTTCTTCACTTTCAGCAAGCAAGGTTGTATCATCTGCATATCACAGGCTGTTAGTGAGTCTTTCTCCAATCCTGATGCCACGGTTTTCTTCATATAAGCAAGCTTCACGGATTATTTGCTCAGCATACAGGTTGAATAAGTATGGTGAAAGAATACAACCTTGTCTCACACTTGACTTAATTTGAAACCATTCAGTGTTCCCATGTTCTCTTCAAACAACTGTCTCTTGGTCCAGTTACAGATTCCTCATGAGGACAGTTAAGTGTTCCGGAATACTCATACTTTGCAATGTTGTCCATAGCTTGTCATGATCCACACAATCAAAAGACTTTGCATAGTCAGTAAAGCACAGGTCAACATCTGATATTCTCTGCTTTCAGCCAAGATCCATCGGACATCAGCAATGACATCCCTCATTCCATGGCCTCTTCTGAAACCGGCTTGAACCTCTGGAAGTTCTCTGTTAATGTATGCTTGCAGTTGTTGTTGTTATTGTGTGCCGTGGAGTTGGTTCTGACTCAGTGACTCTGTACAGGGTTTCCGAGGCTGTAAATTGTTATGGGAGCAGAAAGCCTCATCTTTCTCCTGCGGAATAGCTGGTATTTTTAAACTGCTGACCTGGAGGTTAACAGCCTGATTCATAACCACTACACTACCAGAGCTCCTTAACCATTAGGCAGTAGAGAGATGTAAATCAAAACATCAATGAGATATCATCTCACACCAGAATTAATAGTGAAGTTCAAAACAACAGAAAACAATAAATGTCTGCTAAGGTGTGGGAGAGACTAGGACCCTCCTACATTGCTGGTGGGACTGTAAAATGATTCAACCACTCTGGAAAATGGTGTGGCACTTCCACAGAAAGTTGGAAATAGAAATGTCGTATGACCCAGCAATTCCTCTGCTTGCTATATATTCACAAGAAATTAGAGCCAGGACCTGAGTAGGTATAGGCACACTGATATTCATTGCCATACTAATCAAAATAGCAAAAATGTGGAGACAACATAAGTGCCCATTAGTGGAAGAATGGATACACAAACTTTGATACATACATACAATGGAATACTATGCAACACTGAAATATAATAAGGAATCTGGGAAGTATCTCTTAACATGGATGAATCTGGAGGATATTATGCTGAGTGAAATTAGACAATCACATAAGGGCAAACATTATATTAGACCATTATTGTAAAGGAGTCGTGATGTGGCACTGTGGGATAAAGCACTGGACCACAAGGTTGGTTTGAACCACAAGGTTGGTGGTTAAAACTCACCATCCACTCCTTGGAAGTCTTTTACAGGGTCACTTTGAGTTGGAACAAACTCGACGACACTTAACAACAACTATTATTGTAAAAACTTCAGAAAAGGTTTTCATACTAAAAGAAACATATTTGATGGTTACCATGGGTCAGAGGGAGAGGAGAGTAATTCACTGGCTAGAGAGTAAACACATGTTGGCTTGACTGATGAGGAGGGCAATATACAAGAAGGAGGAGGGCAATGAACAAGAAGAGGGACAGTTGCAGAAGAATGATGAAGATAGTTAAGACCCGGGATGGTATGCATGGCCTAAAGGGGATAGAGGTAAATAGTGACATATATATACAACCATGGAACAACAGTGTTCTGTGTATAGATGCAGGAATTGAAACATAGGTGGAATAAATAAAGGAGAAAGAATGGGATATATATGTATATATTCCTGGTGTGGTACTGCAGCATAAACAGTCAACCATAAGGGTGATTTGAACCATGAGGTCAATGATTCAAACTCACCAGCTCCTCTTTGGAAGAGGATATTTGTACAAGAATATTTACCTTTTCTGCAAACAACTATGAATGTGGCAGATCATACAACAGGTAAAATGATGACAACTTCCTAGATATTATCAAACATCTTAAGGAAATGAATTGCCTGGACCTGGGGGCTCAAGACCATAGTCTCAGGGAACACCGTGGTTTGGTGGTATAACATAGTCCACAAAGACAATGGTCTACTTGAGTGAGTTGTTGTTGTTGTTATGTGCCGTGGAGTCGGTTCCGACTCATAGTGACCCTGCACAGGGTTTCCAAGGCTGTAAATCTTTACGGGAGCAGACTGCCTCATCTTTCTCCCACGGAACAGCTGGTAGTTTTGAACTGCTGACCTTGTGGTTCGCAGCCCGATTCGTAACCACTACACTACCAGAGTAGCATCTGGGATTTTGAAAGTTCATGAGCAGCTGTCTAAGGTACACCTCTTGGTCTGTCCACGTGGGCAAGAAAGAAGAATGGTAAGAACTGAAGAAGCTTGTAATCAATTAGTTCAATGGACTATTACAACATGTGAACATCAATCTCCATGACTCTGAGACTGAAAAAACTAGACAGTGCCCATCTACCACTACCAAGTGCTTTGAAAGGGATAACATTAGACAGCCCCAGAGAAAGTGGGATAAAGTGTAGAAATAAACTCAAAATTATTAAAAAGAAAATAAAAGGCTGGTTTACTCATCAGAACAAGACTGGAGGAACCAGAAACTATAGCCCTAGACTATCCTTCAGGTCTGGAAAGGAACTCACCCTCATGGCCCAATTTTCAGCCAAGTTCACCATGGAATGGTCAATCATTCAAAGTCAACATTTTCCTAAGGACAAAGTTGAGAAGCAATGGGAAGGTGGGTGGAATGCAACTAGGAACCAAAAGGAGGAAGTGGGATCACTGTTGCTGCATAGAGAGGATTAAAATCATTGAGATGAAACAGATTGATGATTTGTTGAATGTAAAGCTGATGATCTTGTCTGTGAACCTTCACTGTGAAAATTCACAAGAAAACATTTTTTTAAAATGTTACTATTATTATTTGCCCATATAATTGATTGCATGTCATTTTAAAAAAATGTTTTATTGTGAATTATATGATAGTTTACATGGGAGAACATTAGTTTTACATTCATTTTATTGTATATCATTTCATTGCCATGGTTCAATCCCCTCCATGCAACATCAACCAACCAAAGGGTATACACTGCAAGCCTGCCCCCTACACTACCCACCTCCTCCCTTCAGTCTTCATCACACAGTCGCTCTCCCTCTCTGGATCTAAAGTTCCCAGCCGCTCCATCACTCCATGTCATCATCTCTGCCTCCATCTCAGGCATCGCTGCTTCTCTGGGTAGGGTCCTGCTCTCGGCTTTTCTCCATTGATGGTCCTAGGGACCTCCACTCCTAGACTGGAAAGTTAATCACTCCCTTCCTTACTATAAAATGTCTACCTATAGTTTTATATATTGCAGAGGCTCTGCAGGAAGCATCCTTCACGGGGCACGTTGTAGCCCCATTTTAGGTATTCCAATCAGTTATAGGCAGAAGACGGACTGACAAGCTTTCTATGGTGTTGTTTCTGACTATTCCTTTCTCTCCCCCTCCAGTGTCTATTTTATATTATAACGCAAGGAAAACCAAGATTCAAAAGGCAGCCAAGCATCTTAACATTATTCCCCTCTTTTCCCCATTCCAACCATGTCTCAATCTCTGTATCCCAGAGCCCTGTAGTCCAAGGTTGTGCATACATCATTCTTTACCTCTGTCCCACTTAGCCCATTCAAACATGCCTAATTGTTCTCCCATCTGCTTTGTTCTTCCATTCCCCTCTCCCTTCTTGTATATTGCCCTCATCCCCAGCACCCAATTGCATGTCATTTTTGAGGGTAAGTGTTTTAAGTATAAACCTCATGATATAAGTTTTTGTTCATGGAATTAGACATACTATAGACAAACTAGAGCTGAAAGATTAAAAGATTTTAATCATAGCACCTTTGTTGTTATTGGATGCCATCTAGTTGATTCTGACTACGACTTCATATCTCATACTTTGGACATATTGTTGGAAGGGAACAGTCCTGTGACAGAGTAGATTTCTTGGCTGTAATCTTTATGGAAGCAGATCACCAGATCTTTCTTCTTAAACAGTCACTAGGTGGATTTGAACAGTCAACCTTTTGCTTAGCAACCAAGAGCTTAATTGTTGTGTCACCAGGGCTCAATAGCAACTTTCATAATTAGTAATTAGTAAGTTAGTGTTCTGGGCTTCTATTTCCCACTAGATCAGATTTTCTCACATTCACTACTGTTGATATTTAGGTCCAAATATTTTTGTTGTTGCTGTAGGGCTGCCTTGTGCATTGTCAGATGTTGAGCAATATCTCTGGCTCAACCCACTAGATGTCAATAGCATACACCCGCAACCCAGTTGTGTGCCAAAAATGTCTCAAAATATTTTCAAATGGTCCTTGGGTTAGGGCAAAACTACTCCACTACTCTCAAATTGAGGATTACTGCCTGGTGGTGGTGTAGGATAAGCACTGGACTCTTAGTCACAAGATTGGCAGTTCAAACCCATCAGTTGCTCTGCAGAAGAAAGAGGCTTTCTGCTCCTATTCAGAATGCCAACCTCAGAAACCCTATACAGGGCTACTATGATTCAGAGTCAACTTGATGGCAGTGGGTTTGGATTTGGGCCCTAGGCTACAGAAAGCATAAAGGAAGTACTAGTGCTGGTCTTGTGTACATCTGTGTCTCCAGCACCTACACAGACTCTGTTTATAGTAAACACTTAAAAAAAACTCTTTCTTCAATTGTTGTTGTTAGGTGCCATCAAGTCAGTACAGATTCACAGCGGCCCTATGCACTACAGAATGAAATGCTGCCCATTTCTGCACCATTCTTATGTGTATTTTGTTGAATAAATGCATTATTATTATTTTTTAACTATAAATCTGCAATTTCAAGTGTTGAAAGCACCCCAGTGGACTTGGTTACTACTTGTGACTCAATAGTCTTTCTGTCTTCTAATTTATAGGTGGATTTACGGTGAAGGCCAAACAGTTAAGATTTCTAAACTCTACAAGCTTGGTAGCATTTCCATTTCCTCATGCAGCAGTTTTGGAAGATTTGGATGGGTCTCTGTCTGGGAAAAATAGAAGCCACATTCTTGCTTCTATGGAAACTCTTCCAGCTTCTTGTTTGGTCAATGCGAGCTTCAGTCAGATGGTCCATGGCAGTGTCTGCGGAGATGACATACTCTTTCATCGTATGTCTATTGGCTTGTAAGTTGAATTAGCTGTACTTTTCAGCTTTTCAATAAGCATACACATACTATTCTGGCTGTTGAGGCTTATAGAAGGGAAATCATTTTTTTTTCCATTCTCGATTTGAACTATTTAGTTGCACAAAAGTGATAAGGGAATAATTTGACAGCTGTGAAATCAAGAGTTTATGGCAGTTTTAGGCTGAGTCTAATGGCAGCTAACTTTCAATGCCATTGGACTTGATCTAAAGCTGTGACCTCTCATTGACATTTTGAACTAATAGTTTCCTCTTGAAAAGATTTGCAACCAATAGAGAATTTATAATATATTTAAATTAAAAGTATTGTTAAAAAATTCCAATCATGTCCATTCTCATTTATATACATGTAAGCTCCCCTAGCTCTTTTTAAGTGTTCAATATGCTCTAGGAAAGCAATTGCTAGTGCCTCCTATTACTTGCAAAGTTGCTTCACTCCAGTTCATTTTCCTTGTTAATTTCATGAACTATTGGATTCGTACAATACATTTCCTATTAATATTGAAGCAAGGACTCCTTGGTTATGCTACTCAAAGTACCATTAAGTCAGCAGCTGGGCTGTTTATAATGCATAATAAGATTGCTTCTGCCCTCTTTAATTTCCAGGTAATGATTGCTGAGTGTCTACGGTTCTGTCTTTTACCTATTTCAAATGCATTGTATATATTTAGCCACCTTATATTCTTTGTTTTAAGTATCCTAACTTCATGAATACTAAGTCAAGTGATTCTACCAGGCCACACTGGCACCTTATTTGAACAGGTGAACTCCAGAGAGTAGTTAGGATTGAACTAAGTGCATCCTGAATGCATATGGAATCAGAATCTTGACATTTTATATTCGAAGCCTTAATGATATGTTACTAGTTTAATAGAATCTGAAACATTTTCCACTTTTTCTATCCAGACTGTATATTATTCTATCTAATATTAATGGGCCCAATTCCAGTGAGTTAAATAAAATTATGCTTTTATTTCTAAAAAATCCTAATTTTGTAGAAGTTGAATTTTTCTTTATTCTAAGGAAAAAAATTGTTATCCTAATGATTTTTACCAAGGTTATTTTCAATGAGTGTTTGGAAATTTATAAAAGTTTGTGATTTACTTCTTGCATACGCCTTACAAATGAGGGAAAAAACACAGACTCATGTAGTTCAAAGGCACATAACAGACTTGTATGATATTGGTTTCAAGTGTCCCTCTTGAAACTAATTTTTTTTTTGTTACGTAGAGGTCTAACAGTAGACTGTCTCTAGGAGAGGTACTTGGCAATGTTGTGTTGGATTGTCCTGCAGAGGCAATCCTGTCTGAGCACCTGTTCTTTGAGACCTTCAGGACAGAATACTTAAGTGCTTATCTTAGCAGCAGCACTCAGAGACTGACGACTTTAATAAAACAATAATCCTGATGCCACATTCTTAAATTTAAAAAAATGTCCTAGTGAAGTGACTGAAAGGTTGATGGTTCAAACCCACTCAGAGGTGCCTTGGAAGAAAGCCTAGCAATCTACTTCAGAAAAAGTCACAGTCATGCAAATTCTATGAAGTGCATGGGATCACCATGAATTGGAATCATCTCAACGGCAGTTTTTTTTTGTTTTGTTTTGTTTTTGTTTTTGAGTTTAGCGGAGTGTGTCCCCATTTGCCCTGGGTTTTCCAGATTTTAAAATGAAAATCCCATTTCCTGGAAACCTCTTACCTTAGTCCCAGGAAAAGTGGGAGAGTTGTTCACCTTATTTCCTGTGTTTCTCTTTAAAATCTTCAGGTTGGCCCACAAATGCATGGACAATTGCCCAATAGCCCCAAATCAGCTCTGAAAGAGTCCCAATTATAAGTCCTTGACCTTTTGTTCTTACTTCTAGACAATTAGATTGTTGTTGTTGTTATGTGCTGTGGAGTCGGTTCGGACTCATAGCTACCCTGTCTGTACAGGGTTTCTGAGGCTGTAAATCTTTACGGGAGCAGAAACCCTCATCTTTCTCCCGCGGAGCAGCTGGTAGTTTCGAACTGCTGACCTTGAGTTTCACAGCCCGATTCGTAACCACTACACTACCAGAGCTAGATTAGATGATCTCTAAGGCCTTGCCACAGAAAGGTTGGTCCATGGACTATCCTTTGGTGGAGCTTGTTAAAAATGCAAAAGCTCAAGCCCCACTCAGTCCTAGTGATTCAGAAAATCCAAGTGATTTACTTGAAGTTTGAGGCACACTGCTCTCAGGTCCTTCTAACTTTATCTTTCTATGATTCTATCTCTAGCTATTTGTGCTCAGTGACTTGATCTTTGTCCTAAAGCATTATAACCTCATTAGGAACATGTCAGAGCTAATGAGCAATTTGAAATCAGCGTAGATACAAACTTTGCTGCATTTCATGGAGAAAGGGATTAATTTGTTGTGCTATTTGCCCTAGGGCAAGCACCCTAAGAATTGATTTACAAAGCTCTCACAGTCATGATCTTTTGGGGTTGCATGTTGATGGAGGTCTGATATGGCGCAAACACCCTGCTGTCTTCATTTTCAATGATTAACCACAACCTCAATAAGCAGTCCCAAGGGGGCAGGAGTGTGAGGACTTACACAGCTGCATGAACAAGGCAGCCCATGGCAGAGGACTGTTGTGGTTTCCTCCTTGATATTCTCTTCTCTGTTCCTTTTCACTGTAAACTCTTTGTTTCACTGGTAATTGTAGGGTCAACAGTTCAAACTCACTAGATGCTCTCAGAAAACCTACACAGAGTTGCTGTAAGTTAGAAACAACTCAACAGTACATAACAACAACAACAACAAAAACCTAAGGACTTTGGTGATTCCTGGGTGGAATGCCTACCTTCCATGTGATGACCCTCCAGGTTTGATTCCTGACCAATGCACTTCATGCATGGCCACCACCTGTCAGTGGAGGCTTATATGTTGCTATTATGGTGTCCAAATTTCAGCAAGGTTTCAGTTTCAGATGAGCTAGAAAGAAAGACCTGGTGACCTGTTCTGAAACTTAGCCAGTGAAACCCAATGAATCACAATGTCTGATCCCATTATGCATGGGGTTGTCATGAGCAGGAGCCAACTCAATGGCAGCTGACAACAGTGATGACAACAGTGATGACTAGCAACTCTAGCAGCTGGTTTGACAGAGCATATAAACATTTAAAGTTGATCATAACATTTAATATTGGGTGAAGAAAAGCCTCTCACCTTCTAAGAGCAGTCTATTTTTTGTTAAAATGACAATGTGCTTGATCTACATGAGTTCTGGAATACCAACTGAAAAGTTTGAACAAACTGATGTAGCACTGGAAGTACTTATTAGTCTGTACTAAGATATTTGGGAGCTAACTCCGTGGCCAATCTACTAGAAGTGTTCCATATTTGTGCCCATTCCAAAGAAAGGTGATTCAACAGAATGTGAAAATTATCAAACAATTTCAATATCACACACAACTAAAACTGTGCTGAGATAATTAAAAATTGTTGCAACAATACATAGAGAGGTAATTCAGTAATTTAAGCTGGATTCATAAGAGGACATGCCACATGGGCTATCACTGCTGATGTCAGATGGATCTGGGATGAAAGCAGAGAATATTCCTTTACTATGTTCTATTGACTACACAAAGGCATCCAACTGTATAGATTGGAACAAACTATGGATACCACTGAGAAGAATGGAAATTCCAGAACTCTTAATTGTACTCCCATGGAATCTGTACATAGACCAAGCAGCAGATGTTCAAATAGAACAAAGGGATACTGAATACTTTAAAATCAGGAAATGTGTTTGCCAAGGTTGTATCCTTTTACCATATTTATTCAACCACCATATTTAAGCAAATACTCTGAGTAGCTGGACAATATGAAAAAGAATGGAGCATCAGGATTAGAGAAAGTCTCATTAACAATCCATAATATATAGATTGCATAGCCTTACAGAAAGCTAAGAGGACTTTTGGCTCATGAAAAGAAAGGAATAATACAGTCTTCAGATTACAACTATAGTACAAATTACAAACAAAAATCCTCACAACTGGACCAATAACAACCTCCATATAAATGGAGAAACAATTGAAGTGGTCAAATAGTTCATTTTAGTTGGATCCACAATCAATGTTCATGGAAGCAGCAGTCGATAATTCAAATGATGCATTTCATTGGGCAAATGTGCTGCACATGACCTTTTTAGAGTGTTAAACAGCAAAGATGTCACTTTAAGGAATAAGGTGCACCTGCCCCCAAGCTATGGTATATTCAGTTGCCTCATATGAATGCAAAAATTGGACAATGAATAAGGAAGATTATAGAAGAATTGATGCATTTCAGTTATTTTGTTGGCAAAGCATATTGACAGTACCATGGACTGCCAGAAACACAAGCAAATGTGTGTTGGAAGAAATACAGCCAGAATGCTCCCTAAAAGTAAAGATGGCGAGACTTTGTCTCATATATTTTAGACATATCATCAGCAGGGACCAGAACCTGGAAAAGGATGTCATGCTTGGTAAAGCAGAAGGTTATTGAAAAAGATAAAGACCCCCCACAATGAGATGGCTCCCCATTACCTCCCGAGGAAATTCCAACATCCTTAATGTCTCACATGCACCTAGTCTGTGCTTATAGTTCTAGTTTCATCTCTCAGCACTGCCTTCTCTCCCCTGCACTCTAAGCATCAGTCACACTCAACTTCTTCATGCTCTTCAGTTTATAGGTTCCACTTCCATGAATTTTGCATAGAGATTATTTTCTCTGGCAAATTTCCCTTCGCTTTCTTACAGGTTTTGTAATTCTCTTAGCTAGTTCTTGGTCTAACTGATACTCATAACTCTTGCTTTTTGAATGTTACATCTTACTTTGTTGTTGTTGTTGTTGTGATGTGCTGTGGAGTTGGTTCTGACTTATAGCAACCCTGTACAGGGTTTCCGAGGTTATAGATCTTTATGGGAGCAGAAAGCCTCATTGTGAGATTGTTGTTGTTGTTGTTAAGTGCCGTAGA